GTGGAGACCCCCAAACCCAGAACCTGATCCATGGGGAAACCCCAACCCCAGGGGTGGTGGAGACCCTAAAAAACCTTCATGAGACCCCCAAAACCCTTCATGAGACCCCCAGAACCTGATCCATGGGGAAACCCCAACCCCAGGGGTGGTGGAGACCCCAAAAAACCTTCATGAGACCCCCCAAAACCCTTCATGAGACCCCCAGAATGTGCCCTGTGGGGAACCCCGACCTCAGGGGTGTTGAGGACCCCAAAAAACCTTCATGAGACCCCCAAAACCCTTCATGAGACCCCCAGAATGTGCCCTGTGGGGAACCCAACCTCAGGGGTGTTGAGGACCCCAAAAAACCTTCAAGAGACTCCCAAACCTGCCCCATGGGGAACCCCAACCCCAGAGGTGGTGGAGACCCCAAAAACCCTTCCCCCGAAAACCAAGCCCTTACAAAGACCCCCCCAAGTCTCTCAAGGACCCCCGAAGCCTTTCCAAAGGTCCTTCAAAGACCACCCAAGCCCTTCCAAAGGCCCCCCGAGCCCCTCAAGGGCCCCTCAAGTTCTTTGAGGGTCTCTAAGTCCCTCAAGGGCCACCCAAGTGCCTCTAGGATCACCCAAACCCTTTCAAGGTCCCCCCAAACCCCTCCAGGACCACCCAACCCCTTCAAAGTCCCTCAAGCCCCCCAAGGGCCCCTCAAGTTCTTCAAGGGTCTCTAAGTCCCTCAAGGTCCCTCCCCAAACCCCTCAAGCACCACCTTATGGCCCCCCCAAGATCCCCAAGGCTCCCCCAAGGCCTCCAAGGCCCCCCCCAAGGCCCCCAAGGCCCCCCAAGACCCCCAAGGTCCCTCCCCCACCCCTCTGGGGCCGTGGGGGACACTCACGGTGCCCATGCAGGTGTCCTGGACGTCCACCCAGACGGAGTCGGCCACGATCTCTCCGGGCAGGACGTGGTAATAGGCCACGATGCGGAAGGAGGGGACGAGCTCGGGGGTCACCGGCAGGGTCATGGTGACCAGGCTCTGCCCGGCCTCGTGGCGCTGCCGCCCGGCGCGGACGATGCGCCCCTTGCTCATGATCTGGGGCGGGCAAGGAACGCGGGGTTGGTGGTGGCCACCGGGGTGGCAAGTGACCCCTCAGCCCACCCTCGGCCACCACGGGGGTTCAGGACGTCCCGGTCACCCCATCCTGCTGTGCTGGCCCTTGGTGACCACTCCTGGACATGGTCATCAGTCACCTTGGCCATGGTCGTTGGTCAACTTGGTCATGGCCATTGGTCACTGTGGTCATTGGTGGCCATGGTCATTGGTCACCCTGGCCATGGTCATTGGTCACCCTGGCCATGGCCATTGGTCATGTTGGCCAGGGTCATTGGTCATCTTGACCATGGCCATTGGTCATGTTGGCCAGGGTCATTGGTCACCATGGTTGTGACCACTCGTCACTCTGGTCATGTCTGTTGGTCAACCTGGTCATGGTCATTAATCACCTTGGTCATGGTCATTGGTCACCTTGACCATGGCCATTGGTCACCTTGGTCATGGCCATTGGTCATGTTGGCCAGGGTCATTGGTCACCATGGTTGTGACCACTCGTCACTTTGGTCATGTCTGTTGGTCAACCTGGTCATGGTCATTAATCACCTTGGTCATGGTCATTGGTCACCTTGACCATGGCCATTGGTCACCTTGGTCATGGCCATTGGTCACCATGGTTGTGACCACTCGTCACTTTGGTCATGTCTGTTGGTCAACCTGGTCATGGTCATTAATCACCTTGGTCATGGTCATTGGCCACCCTAGTCATGGTCATT